CCTGGGTGTATTGTGTGGCTGCTTCTTTGAGAGTGTTTTTGTCTGCTGCTATGCACTCTTCTGCTGTGCCCCCCGGGTTAGGTTTTATAAACCCTGCTGCTGGTGTTGCTGCTGCTGTAGTTGCAGCAGCAGCAGAAGGAACAGCAGCAGCAGCAGCAGCAGCAGCAGCAGCAGCAGCAGCGGGGGGTCTCATGCTGCTGCTGATGCACAGAGGCTTAGAAAGAGATAAAAAGAAACAGTAAAAGAATAACTGATGATGAGTATATATAAAGGGTTTAGGGTTTAGGGTTTAGGGTTTAGGGTTTAGGGTTTAGTGTTTAAGGTTTAGGGTTTAGGGTAAAGGGTTTAGTGTTTAAGATTTATTAGGGTCTAGGGTTTAGTGTATACAGTTCATAGTCTAGGGTTTAGGGTTTAGGGTTTAGGGTTTAGGGTTTAGGGTTTAGGGTTTATGTCGCCGCGGCTTCTGCTGCGGGGGTTTATGGTTTTGTTTGTTTGGGGGCCATAAGAGAAATATAAATAAATAAAATAAAATAAAAATAAAATAATTTTTATTTTTATATTTTTTATTTATTTTTATATCTATTTTACCTTTGGGGGTTCATTGGGGGCCCCCAGGAAAGGGGGCCCCCAAACCCTAGGTGACCTCGCAAGGGTTTAGGGTTTAGGGTTTAGGGTTTAGGGTTTAGGGTTTCGGGGGTTCAGTGTATATTAAAATATTTATTTTATTTATAAATAAATAAATTTTTATTTTTATTTTTTTTATTTAATTAGTGTGTAGATAGAGGGTTTGGGGCTAATGCAGCCCCCGCCATAAACCCTAAACCCTAAACCCTAAACCCTAAACCCTAAACCCTAAACCCTAAATCTTTTAGGGTTTCTCCATCCGCCTCAACTGGAAGCGAAACAGAACAGTAAACCACCATCCACGCCCTAAACCCTAAACCCTAAACCCTAAACCCTAAACCCTAAACCCTAGTAACCTGAGGAAACAAACATGCAGCACCCATATATCCCCCCCTAACAACTCCGGGGTGTATATACACCTTTTGTTTGTGTTATTATGATGAATACATACCAATATACGTTTAGGGTTTAGGGTTTAGGGTTTAGGGTTTAGGGTTTAGGGTTTATGGTCTAGGGTTTAGGGTTTAGGGTTTAGGGTTTAGGGTTTCAATATAATGAGGGGGTTTGTTTAAACGTAGACTCGCAATAGATGCCTCTGCGCCTGTATATAAAATATAATTAGGGTTTAGGGTTTAGGGTTTAGGGTTTAGGGTTTAGGGTTTAGGGTTTAGGGTTTAGGATAGATATAACTAGGGTCTAGGGTTTAGGATGGAGACAATAGAATTAGGGTTTAGGGTTTACTATATAATTAGGGCTTAGCGTTTAGTATAATTAGGGTTTAGGGTTTAAGAGATATATAAAATATAATTAGGGTTTAGGGTTTATGACATACGGTAAACAAGATATGAGGGTTTAGGGTTTAGAGTATATACAAATATATTTAGGGTTCAGGGTTTAGGGTTTAGGGTAAATAAAACATAATTAGGGTTTAGGGTTTACGCTCTATATCATGAGGGTTTAGGCTAAATAAAATTAGGGTTTAGGGTTTAGGGTTTAGGGTTTAGGGTTTAGACAAAATAAAATAAAGTTAGGGTTTAGGGTTTAGGGTTTAGGGTTTAGGATAAATTAAATAAAATTACTGTCAACGCATTCTAAAACAGAGAAATCTTTGGGGCCTTCCTCCGAGGGTTTAGGGTTTAGGGTTTAGGGTTTAGGGTTTAGGGTTTAGGGTTTAGGCAAAATAAAATCAACAATGCAGCTGTGTTGCAGCAACTGCTGCAGAGGTCCTCCTGCAGCAGCAGCAGCAGCAACAGCCGCAGCAGCAGCAGGAACAGCAGCAGCAGCAGCAGCAGCAGCAGCAGTAGCGTGTATTGCTTAGCTACCTGGGTGTGCTTACTCCTTCGTAGCAGCAGCAACAACAGCAGCAACAGCAGCAGCAACAGCAGCAACAGTAGCAACAGCAGCAGCAACAGCAGCAGTAGCAGCAGCAGCAGCAGCAGCAGCGGCAGCAGCAGCAGCAGCAGCAGCAAGTGCTGCAGCATAGCTAGATTGTCTTTCTTCTTAGAGCTCAGCGTCCATACCCTCGAGTTGCATAAAATATATAAAGTTGTTATATATATATATATATATATATATATATATATATATATATATATATATATATATATATATATATTTATTTATTTATTTTAGGGTTTAGGGTTTAGGGTGCTGCATCTGCATAACAAAAACAACAACAAAACCCTAAACTCTATCTGCATATACCTCGGGTATGGCTAGCTACTGTAACCTGTATTCTCTAGCTAGCTGTAGCTTGCTGTAGCTAGCCGTAGCTAGCTGTAGCTAGCCGTAGCTAGCTGTAGCTAGCCGTAGCTAGCTGTAGGTAGCTGTAGCTAGCTAGCTATAGCTATGGCTGTGGCGAGATCCGGATAGAGACATTGCCCCCTATAGCTAGCTGAAAAGCTGTAGCTAGCTGTAGCTAGCTGTAGCTAGCTGTGGCTAGCTGTAGTTGCCTGCAACGAGCTGTAGCTCGCTGTAGCTCGCTGTAGCTCGCTGTAGCTAGCTGTAGCTAGCTGTAGCTAGCTGTAGCTAGCTGTAGCTAGCTAACTAGAAAAGGGGGGGATATATGGGGTGCGTGTGATGTCGCCTATTGATTGCCATTGCAGCTGGGGTGTATGGATAGGGTTTAGGGTTTTATTAGAGTTCTGCTGCAGCAGCAACTAAACAAATACAGAGATAGATGGTGTTTAGTTCTTGCTGGGGGGCCCCCTGGTGTATATGGGGGCCCCCAAGCTAGCTAGCTAACTTTAGGGGGCCCCCTGATGAGGGGGTAATAGAGATGAGAGGAGAAAAATAGAAAAAAAAATAAATGAATTGTTTATATATAAATATAATACGCTTATATAACCTGTTGGTTTCAGGTGTACATACACCTCAGCTCGATTCGTGCATGGGGGTGGCCAGGTAGAGAAACAGACACAGAAAAATGCAGGTTTTTTTATTGATAAATAGAAGTATTTTTATTTTAATAATATTTAAAAAATAAATAAAATAAATTTAATGTAATTTAATCCCCTTTGAGCTGCCTATACACCCCAATGCGGTGATGAGGTTGCATCGTGCTCTGCGTGTCGATGCTCCTTCGTCTTTGTGTATAAAATAGCGGTTCGTTTGTGTTTATAAAGTGTAATATTTAAAATAAATAAATAAAATAAATAAAATATTAAATAAATTCCGAGAATATACCGTTTTATTTTCTCTTTTTTTACACAACAATACTGCTCGGTTGGGGTGTATGCGCAGCTCTCTCGTGGCTGCTCGTTCTTTGGGGGCGTCGCTGGTCCTTCTGTAGGGGGGCCGAAGATACTGAATAAAATATATGTTTTTTAATTAAATTAATTTTATTTTATGTTTTAATATTGTTATATTAATTTATTTTTCTCTTTTTTCCGAGGATTCCATCGGTTGCTGAGGTGTACATACACCTCACCGCACACCCCAGCACAATGCTTGCATATGAGGTTTTACCCGCCCCCTCTTCTTCTGCTTCTTCTTCTTCTCCTTCTTTTAGTGTTGTTGCTGTGCATGGTATGTTGAGTGATCGTCGTTCTTTATCTTCTTTTTGTTTGGGTTTACAAGCCGCCCTCTCCCCCCTTTTTGAGCTGCCTATACACCTGGTGGACTTACCAGCTCACGGGGGTTCTCCTTCTACAGCATGCAGAGCACCGGGGGGGCCCCCGGCGGGGCCCCCCTCGGAGGCCCCCTCGGGGGCCCCCCTGTCTGTGTTATCTATGGGGGCTTCTATATTAAACTTTATAAAGGAGTTGAATCTATCGAATGTTATTTTAATAGGGCATAGTTTAGGGGGCCAGGTGTGCATGTCTGCTGCGGTGCAAGCAGAAGAAAAAGAGAAATTAATAAGAGCTGTATTTGTGATAGATATAAGCCCTATAAATTATTTTATAAATGATGATTTACCTTTACCTTATATTGCTGGTGAGTTAAATATAGTACAGGTTATGCATGCGTTGCTGTCTCTTAATATAAACAATAAAAATAAAAATATAAATAAAAATAAAAATAATATAAATATAAACAATGATTGTTTTATAAAAGATAAAGAAACTGCAGTAAATGTCTTAATACAAAAATACCCATCCATCACAAAACAACAAGCAGAAGGCCTGCTGCTGCTGCTCCAGCCGCAGCAGCAGCAGCAGCAGCAGCA